TTTGCTATGTGGGATGGGGAAGAAGTTATATCGTTTTAAACATAGTCAAAAATGCGAACTTCCTAATCGACACCGGCAAAGTCGCTTCAGGACTCATTAACCTCGTGACCCTGAGCCGTGGAGCTCCGGCAGGCTGCTGAGTCACGCGAACTAAAAGTAACAGAATCGGGCGAAAAGTGACGCCGTGCTCCACTTTCTGCACCCCCCCACCCCCCTCACCTCCTTTGCCGCCTCCACTGGGCTCCTGACTCTTTCTACTGCCTTTCTAGTGCTACTCCTTGGCTCCTTCTTACTGATGTCTTTCAGCCAGACCGCTGATCTTCTGGTAGGAAAGATCTACATCTAGCCTTCTCGGACAACAGCGAAAAATCTCGAAGGGCTCGTGTGAAGTTGTGCACGTAAAGGTCCCTTGGTGGTCTAAAATCGATAAGAGTAGGCTTCGGCCACCACTGGGGCTAAATTCAAAATTTCCTACCAACTGAAAATGTCAGATGTCCCCCGCATGCTCATATGACCTTATGCTGTAGAGAGCGCCATAAAACACTTGCCAAACCCCCCCCCCCCCCCCCAGAAAAAAACAACAAATACCCCAGCTTGAGCTCAAGGAGAAGCTGTCTTTTCTTTTTACGTCTTTGTTGTAAATGACAGTTAGGGAATCAATCCGGTGGGGGTTTGGGGGGTGCTCTGGTGTGGTTTGCTTTTTCTTTCCTATCAAACATCTACCGTCCTTATCTCCCCTTCTTCTTTTTTATGTTTGTTACTCTCTTGTAATACCTCTAATCTTCGGGCACTCATGTGACCTTATGCAGTTGCGAGCGCCGTAAAACCTCTACTAAGTGGGCATTGCTCTGTCTGTAGTAGAAGTTTGGTTTCATTGGTGTCTATATTTGTTTGGTTATGGAGAAAACCCTCCTTTACTTTTAACTCTTGTCCTGCGTCTGTGCCGAGATGGGAATCTTATAAGCAACCGATTACGTCGGATGTTCTGGGCAGGCCGCCGGGGTCACTCAGTGTGTACTGTTGGTGTACAGCGCGCGCTGGGAAATGTGTGTTTTCGTCATGAATACTTTTTGAATGTGTTAATCGATGATGAAAATAACGCTCTATCTTTCATAGCTTTCTATTTATAAAGTGTTACAAACACATGAATAACCCCCTCTCACAAGCTGATGAGACATTACAAGTAGTTACGCCCATTCGAATAACCTTTCTAGACGCTCTTGTTGTTATGAATGACCTGAGATTCAAAAGGGGATAATATCGGTCATTTCCCAAATGTTTTGCAATCAAATTGTTCTTTGTACCTGCACCATGGTATTCAAAACTATCAAACAAGCTTATTCTTTATCAGGTAGTACTGTTTCATACAAAATCAAGCTCATTTGAAAGATTTTGTGTAGAAAAATGGATGTCTTGTTTCCTGACTATCCTTTCGAGCTCCTCATGTCTAAGTGGGTCAATTTCTTCTATAATTTCTTTGGACGAACATCTAGAGCTACCAACTTGGCGTGTTTTGAATGAGACGTATGGCTCGATTATGATCCAACGCAGGCGGTTCTAGAAGAAGGCCACAAACGCACACAAACTCAAGCAGACTGACGCACACACTCTTGACCTGCGTGAATGGGGATCCGTCTCGGGACCCGAATTTCACGTAAGAAGATGCGCAGTGCTCGTGTGCTGAGCCAGGGTCTACACTGACACGGGACCAGAACGTAGGCGAGGTGCCGAAATAGGTTTATCAGGCGACATAAACCCGGCCCCCGCAGGAGGAGGGTTAATGAAACTGAACAGGGGGCAAAAACTTTACCTTCGGTTTTCTCAAAACAGCATTTTTGGGGATAGCCCCCTTGTGCTTACAAGCGACCATATTATAGTGTATGTTTGTTTCCCCTCATGGCGCGGTTTACTTGAAATCAATCCAAAAAAATGTTTGTTTGTTTGTTCCATTTTGCCAGCCTCTGACAACAACCCTACCGCTTTCGCTGACACTGTCGAACGTGCTCTGAACAGCCTCAACCTGAATGCAGAGAACATACAGGTATGGTGTAATAATAATAATAATTATAAATAGCATTTGTATAGCGGATGTCCCCACTCGAAAGCAAGCTCTCGGCGCTTTACACTATATGTGAAGAGTCCTGAAAAAACAAGTTACTTCTCAGATTTTAGACCGATGGAAATAGAAACGTCAAATTTATAGGTTGAAGTTTTACAATTTATCACTATGAAAAGATAAAAGACATGTTAAACTTGAAGAGAATGGCATTGGTTTAGAGTCTACAAATATGACCCTTGTGTTCATTTTTGGCTGATATCTCCATTCATGCATTGCGAGAAGTAACTCATTTTGTTATCACAATTCTCAAATAGCATTTGTATAGCGCATGTCCCCACTAGAAAGCAAGCTCTATGCGCTTTACACTAAATTATTACCCCAGCAGACCATAGAACACTCAGACATTCTCAACTTCCCGGGAGGCATAGAGTGCAAGCAGCTGGTTAAGCGCTCAAACGCTAAGTAAGTGACAAGATCTTTCACTGTCTATAGCCGGGTACTCATTTTCACCTGGGGTGAAGTGGGGAAAATTCATGTAAAGTAAAGTGCCTTTCCCAAGGACACAACGTCGGGCCCGCGGCTCGAACCTCCGAACCCACAACCTCACGATTACGAGTCCGGTAGCCTAACCACTGGGCCACCGACGTAGGCGTGGACACTGTGAGTTGACAAGGTTCTGCTTTTTCAGATTCTACCCCCGGGGCGGTGCTCTGGTGTGGTTTGCTTCTTCTTTCCTATCAAACATCTATCGTCCTTATCTCCCTTTCTTCTTTTTGATTCTCTTGTAACAGCTCTAATCTTCTGGCGCTCATATGACCTTATGCAGTTGCGAGCATCGTAGAACCTCTACTAAAACAAAAACTGAACTTTTCTCGTGTGGTTGAAAAATGCCACTTGTAAGTTCTTCTTTTCTTTACCTGGTTTTTTTTTCTGTCCATGGGTGGTTGTAGGGTGCCACTGGTAGGTTCCACTTCTTTTCTTTTACTTTGTTGTTTCTGTTTTTATTTAGTAGAGGTTTTACGGCGCTCGCAACTGCATAAGGTCACATGAGCGCCAATTTGTTGTTTCTGCTCATTTTGCCCCTTTTCCCCGCTCAAAATGACCGTTATTATTTTGGATGTGCTTCTCTTGAACTCATACAAAAACTAAAAACCTTTGTGTGCCGATTTTCCGCAGGGAGATCCCAACCAACAGGAACTGTGGGAACAGCTGTCGGAGACACTGGGGGCTGAGGCTGGGGGGGCGGGGCTTGGTGGAGCGGGGGCGGGGCTGGACGCCATGGGCGGAATGTTCCAGAACATGGTCAAACAGCTGCTGTCTAAGGAGCTGCTCTACGATCCTCTGAAAGAGGTGGCGGAAAAGGTGAGTAGTGATTGGGACACTTTAACTCTTTATCATCATCATCATTGCCTTTCTCACCCTGTACCAGGGTATAGGCCACGGACAAACACTTTCTCACCCTGCACCAGGGTATAGGCCACGGACAAACACTTTCTCA